CAAACGTTGAAGTTGCCAGGCTTCAGAAACTGCACGCAAGTGGCGCCTTGCTTCCTTTCTCTGCTGCAAAACTGTGGATTCTGACTTGCCACCCTTGGCAATGTTGAAACGGCTCCAGGGTCCCCAGCAACCACATGGAAAAGAAAACCAAACATGTTTCGGCCTTACAACAGCTAACAGGTACATGAGCAAACGTCGGTCCTGAAGTCTGTTGAAATCTTGTCCATGGTTCAAACCCAAAATGATACTGCTCTTACCAGTACGTTCGGAAACTTTTCTGGCAAGTGGTGCATGGTCAGTGAACACCTCGATCATGTGAACTGGGCTATCTAAGGCTGGAGCTTGTGGACCTAACCAGTTTCTCAACTCGTCAAGAACCTGATCGTACTCATCATGAAGCCGGGAAAGGATTACCTGGGTATTCAGTTTTCTTATTGATCTTATGTTCTTCTTAATCCTATCCCCCACAGTTTTATCCACTTTATCCCTGTTACAGCTAACCCAATCAACTTCTTCATAGACAGTTTTCTAATCCGGGTCCATCGGGAATGGACGGTTGCAAACTTGGGTCAACATCTTCGCTGCAGCAGAGACAATGGCATCCGGAATGTTTCTCGGATTCAGGCTTCGGCGGAAGCTGCACACCTTGCACTGGGATGTAAACATACAGGGCTATGTTGGTCTGTACAACTCTGGCCTTCTCACTGCCTGCGGCACGGGTGTTCCATGGCTGTATGGACATTTCACCCTCACTGGTCAGGGTTGCGATACTTCTCAAGTATGGCTGCTTATCAGCATCTTCTGGAATACGTTCTAACCTTGGCCTATATGCTACATATGCATGCGTGCATTCTGAGGCTCTACTTCCAAACAACTGGACAAGCTCATTTCTAAACCTATCCACATTTACAACACCCTTTCTAGTGTTCTTCACAACATGTTGCAAAACTTGCTTCTTTGTTCGACGGCACGGCGGTTTGTCCCGCCTCTCCATGGAACTGGATGTTGTGGCATCTTCTGCGGCTTTGTCATTGGGCTCATTGCTTGGCACTGCTGATTCGGATCCAGCAGTCTCGGACTCTGACACGGAGACAACATCAGGTGAGCCATCTGTGGCATCAGTGATGGCTACATCTGCACTCTTACAGGAAGGCGGACATGTGGGCTCAAACTCTGAAGGTTCATCACAAAACGGTAAAAGGAAGTGGCCATTTGCAGCACGTTTCAACGGCACATCTTTCATACCATGCTTGGTGCTACTGATTGTTCCCTTCCCCATATCCAAATTGGCTTCCATCCCTTCCAGAACTCGCCTTGATAAGAGAAAAGGTGTCGGGCCATTGACCACATAAGTTGTGATAGTACCCCAAAGTTCTCCAATCTTCACTGTCCATTTCAGTCCATAGGTGGTGATTCTACGGTCCCCACTGAAGCCTTTCAACTCAACAGCTGGCAAAGTGCACTTTTCAGGGCTAGGGAGGCCCTTCTGCTCGAAGAGTTTCTGGAAGCGAACTGCAGTGTCAAGACCTATCACGCTTGTAGTGCATCCAGTGTCAATGATTGCACAACCATCGGGAATGGAGGCCAACAAAACATCCAAGGTAGGACTCTCGTTGTTCCACTCTTGTGTGACAACCATATAAGCAAAGTCAGTGGCTACGGTCCCAGTGGTGAAATGGGCATCTTCTTTCCGTGGCTGACGCTTTGGCGGAAACACTTTTTGCTGCTTGGACTTGTCATACCGGAACTCTTGTTTCTTTGGTGCAGATGAGGCATTGGCAGGCTGCAAAGTGCTGGCACTGCTATCACCTGGCTGACTCAAGGCAACTACTGGGTAGTATGGCTGTCTTGCTTTCTTTATTTCCTTGACCCTTCTACGGCTTTCTTTGTAGGTCTTGAATGACTTCTTGAAGTCTTTCTTGGCTTTTTGTTTCATCTCATATATCTCTTGCAACTCCAAGTCGGAATCATTCTCATCTCGGTCAGGAGGACCTTCAGCATGTTGATCAGCCATGTATGCATCATCGGAACCTGAACCACTTGTCAAAGGCTCTTGCAGATCGGACGAATCATCTTCCATGGCATGTACATCGTGCTCCCGGTGGGCAACTGCATATGATTCCCGTCGGGGAGTACGGGAACTGCCATGGTGCATGTGTGGGCGTCTTTCATCATGACGGCTGCGGGATTCATCAAAATCGGAGGCACGGAGAATCCTCTCGACTTCTGCAAAGCGGGATGAACCGCCAGTGGCACGGATGACTTGGGCTCTCTGCTCTCGGCTCAAACCATATTTGCGCATGAACAAATGACCCAAAACAGTGGACGGAAAGATCGGCGAAGGCTTGGTGTGGCCAACCTCTATGGTTCCTAGCATGTATGCCATTTTCAGCTCTTCTTTCTTTCTATCACCTGAGTGCGTACCTCTGGAACCTCGACTGCTATGACGGCGACGTCTCTGCTCGGATGTATCATGACTCCGGGCAGTTCTCTGCTCATCAGCATCACCAGGCGGTGAGGCTGCGGCTTTCGGTGCAGGGGTTTCAGATCGCACACTACCTGCTGCTTGGCCGGATGCTTCTGCGGATGCATCAACTGGGGCGGCTGCTGGCTCATGACTGGTTGATCCTGGTTCGGACCCATCATCACTAGGTTCTAAGCTGCTATTGTCGGGCTCGGCACTGGCAACAGAACCCTTTCCTTTCTTTCCAACTTTCTTGGTCTTGGCTGTTGACCTCTCCTGGGCTATCAGTGCTTGAACTCGGGACAAGGCTGTTTTGAACCTCGATGCAAAGGCTGTGGCACCTTCATGGGGCTTTTTCCGCAGGTCAAACAGGAAGCTATCAATTGCTTCATGCAACTCAGTCTCTGGCAAGAAGGCATAGTGGGTATCCAAGGCTCGAATAACTTGCAACCAACCATCATTTCGGCGCAAGTCCGCAACTGCTAAGTGTTCAGTGGCTCGGTAGGCTTCTCCTTGAAGTCTCGTGAGCAACCTCGGTCCAGCTAAATGCACATGTCTTTCCTCTAAACCAGCTACAGCAAGGATTGTCTTTCTCCGGAATTCTCGGTAATTACCAGGTCTGCCATCGAAGACAAGATCTCTGAATGATCCAGAGTCCTTCTCCATGTTGATCAGCACCAAAGGTCGCGGTGCTGCACGTGTTGACCTTGATGGCCAAACTCACCAGCAAACAGCGCTGGCGCACGGATGCCCTGGCTTGGAGCCTAGGGCTCCGCTACCATGCGGAAGCACGGGTAGCGGCCCAACAGCTATGGGGTTACCTACCTCTAGCTCCTAGGTCAAATGACCTCACAAACAACGCTCACCCTCTTTTCTACCATCCAGCCAATAGAGGCTCAAGGCCTGTCCAGCCGATATGCAGCGGCATCACGAATCACTTCCAACCTGAGGCATGAAAGGATCGACAGACGCATTGGAAATTTACATATACATACATACATTATATATATATATATATATATACACATACATACATTATATATATATACATACATACATACATACATACATACATACATATACATACATATACACATACATATACATACATACATACATACATACATACATACATACATACATACATTATAAATTATATATATATATTATATTATATATAATATAAATATATATATATTATATACACATGTCTGTATAATAATATAATATAATATATATACATATACACATGTATATATGCATAATTACACCTGTACATGCACCTATAGTATGCGTCAGTTTCCAAACATTTCCAGAGCCGCCTGATTTTTTTCGAGTGGTTCCAGTCGTGAAAATTCACACCGCGTAACAATGCCTTGATCAAGGCAGGACCTGCGCAACAACGCAGGGATGCAGTCTGCGGAAATTCCCTTGAGGGATGGACAACCATCACTTGAATTTCTGGTGTGCGAAATAGGTTTCAATTTGTTGTTCTTCCGATTTTCAATGTGAAACATCACTTGTGAATGGTGATTGGATGGTTGGACCAGGGTCTTTGGCCTCTCTTTCAGTGGATGTTTGTAGATGCTGGGAACCCTGTCCTACAATTTGGTCCTTTTTCAGGGCGACCTTTTGGTCCATGGCAAATATCCTATCCCACTGAAGATGAACGACGATTACATGCGCTTGATGTTGTGGGCTGTCCAGCTAGTGATGTTTGGATGAATCGACGCTTCTCCAACCTCGGTGGTTTCTGCTCTTTTAATGTGATGATTCCGAAGAATTTCTATGGACCCAGGCATTCCAGATTGCGTTGAAACCACAGGGCGCCGTAGTTGTCATTCCGTGCTGAAAGCGATGAACCAGTTGTTCACATTCAGCGTGGCGGTGACAGATGTAGTCATTGCGGCACGCAAATCTGCAAAGCACAGCACAGATAGCCCAGTCCTGAAACAGCCCGTCCAGTTCTGAGACAAGAAGATCAAGAAAAAGTTTGGGACGATGCTGTGTTTTGGCCGCTTTTGCTGAGTCTTAGCTAATTTTCCGACCACAAAAGTAACATTATTGAAAATTACTTCAAATCCTTGGCGCATTGGCACAGGGGGAGTTGCAGCACATGCTTTGATTGCTGATTGCAGGGCTGTTCCGCAGAAGAAGACAAACTATGGCTCTTTTGGTGTAGAAAATGGCCCGGGCTTCATTTGTGCTGGCCTTGGAATTTGCAACCCGCACATTTCCACGATGTTTTGGTCGGTTTTACTATCAACATCTATCAACTATGCCATTTGGAGGTTTCCGAAAATGGGGGCACGTCCAAATCATCCATTTGAAATTGTAAACCGTCCATTCTGGGCTGTTCAGATTTTAGGAAACCTCCATTTCTTCAGGAGCCATCAATTGACACCAACGTCTCAGTCCTGGCAGCGTTCAAAGCTTCCCCAGCTCGATTTCAGATAGCAACTGTTGGCAGAACAGCTGCAGACACGGGCTCGCGCGACATGCAGCGACAAGAAACGCGCTGCGGCAAGTTGGAGTCATGGTCTACAAAATCCATGACTTTATCCATATTTTTCCAGAAAGATACGGGCCTTCAAAGGATGGGATGGGCCCTTCATCTTCTTGTGGAAACCCATTGATGATAGTAGGATGACCGGGGTCAAAGACCATGGCACATAATATAGGATAATGTGGTTGGTGAAACAGTACATCGCCGACATACCTGCAATTGCGCGTAGCCATAGTTCATCCTGAGGATATTTGGATACCCCATGAATTGCAACTGGGAAATTGTTTTCTCAAAATCAAGCCTGGTTTGTGGTGGGAAAATGATGATTCATTTCCAAGAACAGCAACATACATACTGTAGCCATTTTTTTGGGCGAAAAATCATTGTTATTTTTGCAGACAGAGCCACATTCCGGTGCTCGGTGCAGGAGCTGAAATCCCCGCAGCTGGAGAAACGCCTCGAGACGGGATCAGTGGTGGCCGCTAGAGCTTCAACTGGTCTATGGATCAACATCTAGAACATCCTACTGGTCCATGGGTCGTTTTTTTGTTCCCTCTCTTTTCTTCAATCTTTCTGGAACCCGTCACCTCTTTTTGGCAAAGCGACCGGGACGTCGGGGCCAACCTTGGGATTTCAATCCACACGACAGTCGGCATCAGTAACCCTGAAAAAGATATGGACGTTACTGAATAAGTTCCCAAGTTCCCAAGTAGGGAAATCAATTGAACCCTGGGCCAGATTCATAGTTTTTCTGGCTCGTGCGGATTGACATGCCATACTTATCCATACTTTCCCCCGCTTTCCGAATGACCAAGATCAGAAGACTTGAGCCTTCAAAAAAGATCAAAGTTCATGAAATCCCACGAGAATTCATCAACTGAACCCTTCAAAAAAAAATTGGGAGGAGGGTTTTTTTAAGTCAACACCCAGGATGACCCGCTGCCCAGGATGAGCTCCGTTTGGCCGGCGAACGTTTGCACTACCGACTTTTGAGGGGCGCAGGGCCGCCGGAAGGTGCTTCTCCCAGTGGTTGGGTGAGTTATCCCAGCAGAAACTCATGGGAATATCATCGAATATCGTGGTAAAGAATGGTCAATAACTGGTGAATGTCAGTGAATGTTGGTTAATGATGGTTATATTATGTTATATTATTATATTGTTTTTCATTATGGTTAATAATGGACAATGATTGTTAGTAGTGGTTCAACACACGTGAATAGAGATTAATGATGGTGATTGATGGTAATTACAATGGTATATGTTATACAATTTCTTCCCCCTTTCACATTGAACTCCCGGGAAACCATGGTGGATGTAGGGGATTTGGAATGGTATAGATATATTATGACATATTTGGATATGTTTGTGACCATACAAGGGGGAGGTAAATATTCGGGCTGATTAGATTATTCGTTATAGATTGTTATAGTATTATTGCATAGCATTAGTTACTATATATATATTGTTATTATAGTATTGGGATATATGATTCATCAATATACCATGTAGCTCATCCCATTAGTAGACACTGTATTGCTATTGTATTGCTAGTAGTTGCGTTATTGGTTTCGCAATCTCATTTGCCATCCCCAAACGACACCGTGAGAAAATGTGTATCTTCAAACCCGAAACTGTTGATGGTTTGTATTTCCGCTATGTTCATATTTAGCCATTTGATGGAGGAACCACTTCTGAATGGCCACCCTACCCGGCCCTACCCATTTAACTGTGAAAACATAAGTTGCAGTACGCAATTTTGACCCATCCGAAAGATCTCGTAGCAATTGCTGGTCTAAGTTTGATCGGCGGCCCGGTGGTGGGGCCACATTTAAATAAGATATTTAAATTGGAAAAAATTGATAAAAACACACGGCCACTTCCTTGTTTCCTTGTGAAATATCGCGAAACTCGATGTGAGCCACAGAAAGAACACTTTATCATTTCAGGGATCACACCTGAAGTGCACCGATTTGTTGGGCACAACCATGTCGGTCAGCAGATGCTCGTGAGCTCCAAATCGTCCTGCAAGGCTGGGTAAGCCTCAAAGTATCTGGCAAGGCTCGTGTTTTCTGTGTGCATCCGGGTCGGGTTTTCTGTGTGGTTTGGGGCCTCAGATTTTTCACCGATCTTCGTTGTGTTTAAGTTTTTTTTTTCAGAAACCAGCTTGCATGGAATGCCGTGGCTGTGCTTTCCAGCAGGTTCTTCTCTCGCCCATTGTTGAGGCAGCCTGCACGTTGCCGCATACGGTTGGGGGGGATGAATGGAACCAACATGGAACCAACGCAGGGATGAATGGAATGAAGATTCTAACATATTCTAACCAGGGTTTATAAGGGATAGAATCTTAGAGGATCATCTACTTATTTTATCCCATATGGATAGGGAGTAACACATCGATGACACCCAAGACACATGGCGAAAGGCAGAAGCGGCGAGCACTGCGAAGGATGAAAGCCGGGGGGCCTCAACCATTCACCTGGTTCGGTAATGCAATAATGCCATAAAACTACCCATTTGGGAATGGTTTCTACCTTCCATTTCTGGCGATTTTTCGGGGTTGGTTTATTATTTGGTTTACCACGCTATTCATAGAACTTTGAAATGTGACCTGTTCAGGATCAAGACTTGGAGATACTTCGATTTTCTCGTCGGCTCAAGCCGCTTGCTCAAGCCTACTGTACGAGACATGTTCCAGTGTACTTGGCATGGCGGCCTCTGGCGGTGATGAGGGCGGCCCTGTGACTTCTGTGACTTCGGAACGGCCCTGTGAACGTGGTTGCGGACGCGCGTCCTTTCGTCACTACAACACCTGTGTCTTGATCAAAGACGGTGACACAGATTTTGGGCAGTCCTTCGAAGGGAACTATCCACCCCTTCGGGGATCCAAGTTTGATTCGTAGCCAAGGACTTAAGGACCCATTTGAGTAGTATCCTCTAATTTTAGTGGCATATTATATTCAATAGCTAATATTCGATAGCGAATGAAATTATGTTGTATAAATTAGTAGTATACATTTATATGATTTATATAATATATGCATTATGTATGTCACATATACGTATACATATGGAATGGAATGGAATGCAATGGCATGTATGGAATGGAATGTAATGGAATGGAATGTAATGGAATGGAATAGAATGTACTATAATGCAATGGAATGTACTATAATGCAATGGAATGTAATGTAATGCAATGGAATGGAATGTAGTTTAACGTAATGTAATGTAATGCAATGGAATGGAATGAAATGTATGTATAGCTATTGATAGTGGAATTTTCAATCACTGCATTGCAGTGTGTTTGTGATGAAAAAGCCACCTTGCCCAGGCTGCACGCACTGCAGCGGAGCAGAGGGCAGTCATTCCCGAGACTGCAACGCCAGGAGTGCAGGACAGTTTGCTGGTGGCCGTTATGCATTTGGGGGGTTCTTAAGTCATGGGGGATCCCCAAGTCACCATGGGTTAACCTGTGCTAAACTAGTCTAATGACTTGGATGATTTAGGGTACCACCCCTTTTTTCGGAAACCTCCATTTTTTCTGAGGATTGTAGCCACCCGCCAAAGCGACAGGACTTGATGAAGAGACTCGGCCAAAGATCATATCAGATATGGATTAGTCAGTCGTATCCAAAAGTAAAAAAACATCCTATAGATATTTATGGATGATAGTCTCATATTATATATGTCCTATTTTCAGAACCCATCTGGGTCAGCCAAGGACTCTTCAGGATGGGTGCGACCGATTTCTGTTCCCGAGGGAATGTGCCAAGGGGGCTGCGGCAGAAAGAGCTTCGGTGACTTTAAGCCTCTCGTCGCGTGTTTCGCGGGTGTCGCGTAATGGGATACAAGGTGGACATGGTATGATACAATGGCGATATCATGAAATCATGAGGGGATATTAATAGACCATTGGTTCATACCCTCTGGTAATAAAACAGTTTGCTGTAGATGGCCCATGACCCTAGATGATTTTCCTATGAAACATGGTGATGCTTCATAATCATGTGAAGTTACCCGTAACATGTCAAGGTTCAGCAGCCAGTCTTTGTTGGATTAAAGAGGCAGAATGGTCTTGCCCGAAATGTCAAAACAGCAACACACCACAACAACCACAACAACCACAACAACCACAACAACCACAACAACCACAACAACCACAACCACCACAGCAACCACAGCAACCACAACAACCACAACAACCACAACAACCACAACAACCACGACAACCACAACAACCACAACCACAACCACAAGAACAACACCAACACCAACAACCACAACCACAACAACGCAACGACAACGACAACAACAACGACAATAACAACACCAACAACACCAACACCAACAACACGACCAACAACACCAACACCACCAACAAACCCAACCACACCAGCAACACTAACAATACCAACAACACCACCAACACCAACAACACCAGCATTAACAACACCAACAACACCAACACCACCAGCACCACCAACACTACCAACACCACAACCACCGCCAACCCCAACCACACCGCCGAAGCCTTTCCGTCGCTTTTACCAGACTCCACTTTGTATTTTTAGAGAAAAAATGGCCGCGTCGCTTTTACCAGACTCCACTTCATGTTTTTTTCCTTGCCCTCTCTCCTTTCTTTTTTCTTCGGTTCCTTTCTTGCTCACCTACCTTTCGTGTTCCCCCTCTCAAGTGAATCTCATGGCATACCTTCTTGTAATCGACGATTTGTTCCAACAATCGTGAAGATCATGGATTCGCCTCGGTGAATTCAACTTTTGAACAGTAAATTCGGCTTCCTGCCAGGTTAGATTCCCTTGCCAAAACCATGGTGATATCAGTGATTTCCCATGATTTTCTGGTTTTTTTCCATTCCCCAGGACTTGCTGCAAGAGTGACTTGGATGGAAATCTGGGTTGGCGATTTGTTGGGTTGGCGAGAGTTGCAGGGCGTTATCAACAGTTGGGGGATGTTTCTATGGATTTGCCACTTTCTTGGGAAGTACTTCCTGAGTTTTTCATGTAATTATATCATCAGAGTTTCAGATGATTCTAAGTTCTTTTTGGGTTGAACGATGGAATTTTGAAAGATGTTGTTCAGTAGAAAGCTCATGCGCGGCTGCAGAACTTGAGGTTGTCCTTTTCTGATCGAAAAATATGGACGACCTGGTCACGATTGCACTTGTGCCCCAGTTGCAGCACATGGTCAGATGATAAACAGGACAGTGGTCAGAGCTAGGCCCTAAAAAATGTTGTGATCATTCCTTTTGCATTCAACCTGAGCTTGCGCTTTGAAGGGTTAGTACCTGAATTTGATACACATGCTAATCTGGTTGGTGGTTTGGAACATGAATTTTATTTTTCCCATCATATTGGGAATGATCATCCCAACTGACGAACCCATATTTTTCAGAGGGGTAGGGCCCAACCACCAACCAGTAATGCTACGAACTGCCGCCAAAGTCCATGGAGTCCATGTCCAGTTTGTTGATCTCATCTGTATTTTCTTGGTCAAAGTCCCGGTTTTGTTGGTTAACAATATTGTATGGTTTAACCCCCAATTTTGGTGTATAAATATATATATATTATATCTAATATGAATGTATATTTATATAATATGAGTACATTATATATATATATATATGTATATATATATATACATACGAGGTATGTTTCGCAACGGCCGAATTGTCATCCAATCTTCTCAGGCGATATTGAGCACAATGAAGGATTGATGCCTCCCTGGTATTGGCGTGTGATGAGCCGGGAAAGCAAAGCTCCTTGGAGCAGCGGAGTGTTTAAAGGTTCATCAGTTTTTGTCAGCATGATTTAGGTGGAAAAAGGGGAAAGAAAATCCAAAGATATCATAATATCATGTAAAAAAAATTATACATATTTAATATATATATATATAAATCTTAAGGTGAGTATTTTTCCAAAGTGGCTAACCTAGCAGCTGAGGCGACTCCATTCCATGAAGAGGTGGAGGGTCACTATGTGCAAAGTTTGGGCACTAAGTTGCTTGGATCGCCAGTCTAAAAACAGGAAAGTTGGACATCAAAGAAGTGAGTGTGAACTCAACCAGGAAGATGGGTGTTTCATGGATTATCATGGTATATTGGTATGGATTTGTAGATTTGAATCTTCATTTTGGGCCTCCGAAATTTTTTCTGATGGCTGCCACCGACTTGAGGCTCATTCAGCAGACACTCGAAACCCGAAGGGTGGTGAAGTGCCTGCGGGTGGAAGATTCTGTTCTTTGGGCCGCTTGCATGCAGCAGATTTGCAGCAGATTTGCAGCAGATTGCAGCAGATTGCAGCTGATTGCAGTTCGCAAAGAGTTTTGCAACAAGGTAGTTTTTTCTAATGTATTTGTTGCGGATTAACCAATGATAGTTGGGATTAACATGAATTAACAAACAACAGGGATTAATCACTGGGATTACCCAACCGGATTAATCACTTGGTTTTAACCCACAAATTATGGGGATATAGCTTGGCTTATGCTCCCCAGCCAGTGGATAGTGAAGATCTGACACTCCCCATGGTTTTCAGGACGCGTATTCGAAGAACAGGGCCGAGATTCGAAGAGCACAAGAGAACCGCACGTGGATGTCCTTTTCCCACTGGTTGGCGAAAAAAGAGCGGCTGAGAGTTTCCTTTACTAGGTACCCTCCTGGTAAACTAACATAGCCATTGAAAATGGCCATTTAGAGTGAGTTTTCACATTAAAAATTGTGATTTTCCATAGTTTCTTGTATGTTTACCAGAGGGTAAGTGATGATAAATGGTAGACCAGCGCCGATCCGAGGCTGGACAAACGGGTCAATGAAGTGTGGACCCTCGGCAGCTACAACGCGCCTTGTCCCTTTTTTGGGGCCCTATGGGGTTCTCATTTCCTCATTTGGATCTGTCTGGAAATGGTGTTTTTGCAGTGTCTACCCCCAAAATGGCAATTTCATTGGGATTATATGGCCGATTTTCAGACAAAGCATGACAAACCCATTTCTTGTATTTTCTTGTTGCTTCTACCCCAGGCTGCAGTTGCTGGAACGTGTGAGTCTTGATTAGCAACTGGTAAAGTCTGTAGAATCTCTGCTGATGATCTAGCAAAGCTACCTAGCCTATCAGAGTCGATCACCGTGGGAGCCAAACTTTGAAGACTTGGGAAATAGGGTACCCTTAAAACAAATCCCACGGTGTATGTCATCATTTTCCCTATGAAACAATGGCCAGAACTCACTCGGGGGTAGTCAGAATTACTCCTTGCCTTGAGGCTTTTCCATGGAACCAGCGAAGAAGCTGCTAAGTCGATCTGTGTCAGTCAATTTCGGCTTCCGACGTCATCTGCTCATGGAGCGATGTTCGGGAAGGGTCTATATTTTGCGGACCGAGCGAAGAAGAGCCATAGCTACACCACGCGAAACAAGGAGGGACTTCGCATTATGATGCTGGGTAGTGATTTCAAATCTTTCTTTTTTCCAGTAATCCCATTCCCTTAATTAAACACCCCCATCGTATGGTCCCGCAGATGTGTAGATCATTGTAAATCAAAGCATGGTTTCTGGGGGATGTTTTATGGGGGAAGGGATTCCTATCGATGTGAAGACGACCGTGATGTCACGAGCCATAAGTTTTTTGGGGTGAAACTGTGAAGCAGGATGCTATGTCGGGTAGTTCTTGGACATGTGCTGCGGTTAGCATCAACAGATTTCAAAGCTCACGAGACCATTAGGGGCACTGAGTACACCTCTGTGCTGGGATGTGCTGATGGAAGCAACCAGGAGTTTGTGGTGTTCGATGTTACGCAGGTGAATGGGAATCAATGGGAATGACATCAGATGTGTTGATGGTTCATGGCCTTGAAAGTTGATAGTTGTTGGATGTTGAACTTTTATTATACAAATTGTATACTATTTGGAGTATCATTTTAAACATGTCACATCTTGCCGATTTTGTTGGGTCTTTTTTCAGATTCCAGAGCCGCCTTTCACTCATACCTGCCAGGGTGCAGTGCAGCCAGGTCTACCCCGAGTATATCATGTTCTACGCTGATCCAAGGGGTGAGACTCCAGATTGCACGGTGCACTAGCGATGGCTGCGACCGTTCAGCATGCTCATTGTCCAACAGGCCCAATATGAGGTCCGATTACAGAAGAAACAGATCCGACTTTCTGGTCTCTGGATCTCACGGCAAGTGGCTTGTCAATCTCGGACGGAGGGGACACGACCTGTGTGGGAGGAGTCGCGCTGAGAACGGTGAAGTGCGTACGGCGTACGACCTCCAAAACTTTGAGGATCTCCATTTTGTACGAACCTGCTGGAAGTCTCACTTGGCGCAAGTGGCGCACTGGCTTCAGCTGGCTGAAACCAGGGCGCGAACAAAGAAAGCATGCAAAGTGCAAGAAATAGAAGTGTTTGTCCACAAATTTTAAACCGCATCTTCTCCATTATTTCATTGCACAAATTGGACTAAATCGATGGGAACAGTTGATTTTCTTCGGGCGAATCACGGAACATCCACCATAGGGTCCCTAAGAAAAGGCACAGGGTTGATACTGGATGGGTCAATCATCATTTTCCCTCTTAAAGTGGCCATAAAAATTCAATCAGCCAGTGTCAGACACGGCCAAATATCATATCGTTCATTATATGATATATATGATTCTGCACAATTTAGAGCGAGGGCTGACGAGGTACGAGGTGAATCTTTGCAATTTAAGCGAGGTGAATTAATTAAATTCAGAAAACGAGGTGGGCAGAAATTGCTTTCAAAGCATGTGCAACGAGTGAAAAAAAACTTTTCGGGCTCCAGAAAGTTTTTTTTGTTCCCATCAGAGTGAAAAAAATAGAAAATTAAGGGTGCATTCAGACCCGTGAAAAAAAAACTTTCTGGAGCCCGAAAAGTTTTTTTTATCGTAATTCAGTCAGTGCCCTGTGGTGGCATGCCCGGTTGTTCCAGGACTTCCGTATTTGTTCTACAGTGAAACCACTGTTTAAGAACCCACTGCATTAAGAACCTCAGGGGCTGGATTTCTGGATTCAACTCTGTCTACCAGCTAATTGAAATAAGAACCCTAGGGAACCCTGAAATTTTGGTCAATAGTTCTTATTCACCTTTCCCAGGTAGCGCGACTAGATTCTAAAATTGCTAAAGCTTGAGGTGTAGCGGGGTATCTTGGTGCTGCTGCTGCAGCTTCTCTTCTCTGGGGTCGAATTTGGGGGGAATCGAGCCCCTGCAAATCCGCTTGTAAAAGAGGCATCTCGGACTCGGAAACAGGGAGAAACTTTTTAGGCCCTGAAAAGTTTTTTCAGCATCCCCAAGCCTCTGGAGCCCAGAGCGTTGCTGCAACGACGACAAAGATAATTCAAAAAAGTTCAACCCAAAAGGAGGCAGAGCACTAGTTCGAATGGCTTGCGGTCGAGAAAGAAATGGGACGAGGGCTGAAATCCGTTTTGAATGTAACGAGGCGAGGACTGAAGATTTAATCAGAGGGGAAAAGTAGATTTAAGACGAGGAAACCGTTTTGAATTTAAAGTAAATTTTGCAGATGATTATATCCCGAGCTATGGTTGGTTTAAATCCCATCAAATCCGCCATTTCCCGTCAAGACCACGAAGAAATTGCCATAGTGGACGCTTTTTACCACATTTTCCACCGAGGTTTTGACAAGTGGCAGGTTCTGGGAGTGGATGCCGCATCCGAGGCGGCCAAAAACGAGGACGAGATGCGACCCTTGGCGAATTTTCGAGGAATTCATGTTGCCAGGCTGACCCATAGGTGGTGAATGATGGTTATAGATGGTTATAGTATGTTATAGTTAGTTAAAACTACTATGTGATTTTCCTGCAGACAGAACATGGGAGTTTCAGACATAATTTTCCAGGAGACGTTTTGAATTTTACGATCGACTCCGAAATGACTATAGATGGTGGTTGAATATGAATGATTAATGATTGCTAATCCATCTTCCAAATATAGTGGGAATGGTTAGATAGATTCTTGGAACATGCGGAAAATTGCTTAAACATCATGACCATCCTGCTTGGGTGATTCATGAAATTGTCAACAACCTCCAAAATAAATGGTAGTCAATGATGCTTAAATATGGTTCAACACGCAAAACCAACAAATAGGTGGAGCATTGGAATTGAACCAAGCAAAATGTATTGAACACAATGAACATGGGGACATTTCAAGCTCCCTGTGACACATGTTTGCACTTCAGCCCGTCCACATCAGCTCGTACTAAGGACGCATTTCCTCGTCCAAAATCATCTCTGCCATAGGCAAACCGTACCTGGTTCAGCCCTTAGCTCCGGGTTTCATCGACTATGCGTGAAGTATTTAAGGACCCCGATGGTTAACCAACAGCACACAGGTCCATTGAACTGCATCAGTCCAAAAAAGTGGGTATGGATCAATACCTATGAAAATAGCATTTTTAGGGGGATGAACATCCATTTACTAGCTATTTTGATGTGAACTACAGGGGTACTATTGGTTTTGACACACTGCCATGTATTTCCCTCTTTTGCTGATCTTTTTCATTCTTGTTCATGCTTCAAAGTCCCATTTTCTTTGATCCATATTCTGGGATGTTCTTGGCTATATGGCTATATCCCCATTATATCCCCGTAAGATCTCCCCGATTAATCCATGACATTTTCCATGGTATTTCTGTGGGATGTCATCCCGCTCATAGAGCTCAACTGTTTGATATGTTTCACGGGCTTACCCTCAGACCAAACATACCTACATATGATAGAATATGTGGAAAAGGCCTGGTTTCCCGTTCGGAAAATTATTTGCATTCATTTTTGGTTTCCCATGTCTGTGGCACTGTTTACAGGAAGGCAATTATATTCATATGGTAATCGATCTAAAGGTCCTTGTAAAGAGTTTTCATTACAGCTTGTTAAGGGCTACCACCTCCTGCCGCCCGGGGGTCCGGCAGGAGAATGGTACCGCACATTTACCTTTCCCTGCATAGGTAGCAGCCAAGCTTCCGAAGGTGAGGCTTTGCCGCAGCCAAATACCATGGTCTTGAAGCACGTCCTTGCACCTGCCGCTAGTACTGCCTAACGTTGCTTTCTGAAGTCTCAAGAAACAAGCTCCAAATGCAGCAGCCAAGCTTCCAAAAGTGAGGCTTTGCGAGAGCCAAACACCAAGGCCCCGGGTGTTTGCTTTTCCTCTGATGCGCCCCCCCCTGCTGATGGTTGGGGTCTGCGGATAGGGATATTCTCGCGAAAGTTCCGCGAAAGCTCTGCGAAGGAGCGGGCGAAAGTCAAAGTGCATTTTGAAGGGAGTGGCCCAGTAAGCCTTGCGAAAAAATTGCGTAATCAGCAACAACCTGTCCTGAGAATGGGGTTCCGTGATGCTAGCTGCATGTTTACAAGGCTATGAAGAAGCTATCCGTAATAATTTGGTGTGATTTGGCAGGTGATGAATGAATCTTCATAAGAGGAGTTGTTGCTCAATATGGATTCCGCGAGAGATAAACATGGAGCTCGCGAAAGATTCGCGAAAGAAATTGTTATGCGCGAAGAATGGAGAATGGCCGTTTGCAGACAATGTAATTTAGATCAACCGCCATATATATATAATATATATATATACACATCAATATAGTGACCACTTGTAGAAAGCCCTCTTTGATGGTTGGTTTTAGAATGTTGTAAGACTTTTAGGAGGTTATATTACCCTGGACTCCTGGACATCCTCACATCCACAATATATCCCGATTACATCCCCAATATCCCCATGATAGATGACGATTTCCCATTACTATACTCCCATCTATAGATGAGGATTTCCCATTATGATGTTCCAATTGTTTGGCATTTTCCAAGGAAGATTTTCCATGATATTGGAATCCATGATGTCCCATGCAGATTCCCCATGAAGATTTCTGGTGTTATCCTCAATTTTTAGGTTTATATTTATATAATTTATATAGCATTCTATCACCAAATATTGGGTTTGTAGTTGGTTATCATATTTCAATTTTTTTTATAATCGTATTTCAACTTTTTGGTTATCTTTTATCATATTTATCATATTTTTACGATTATACTTCGTATTTCCCTTTTTTCAACGGCACTTCTCCCATCGTCTGCGCCCAAGGTCCTGGGTCTTCAGCCCGGCGCCAGCAGTGCAGCAGTTCGCCGCGCCTATCACTGCCTGGCGCTGCTGCATCATCCGGATAAAGGTGGGGAGATGGAAATGGGAAGTCAAAACCTATCAGTTTTAGTGAGAACATCAAAAGAAGGCAGTTATGGAATGGGTTTGGAAAAAATGAGGGCATTTTTTGGGATTTTAATGGGACGTCCATGGGATTTTGGCAACCAAAATATGCATTTAACCATCAGAAATGGGATTTAAATTAGGGTCAACACACATAAAGATGTGGAAAACCAATGGTTTCCCCACGAAAATCGTCTACATTCATGGTTGATCTGCTACATCGAGGTGTTAGTTTACCCTGGGGTTTATATGGTTTTACCTGAACATAGAGTCCCCAAAATCCAATGGTTCACACCATCTTTGGATAGCCATATAAGTTGGGGATGAAGGATGAAGGGTGTAGTTTTTTGATAGTCATTATATTCATAATAAATCATAATAACAATAATAACTATGAAAATAATGAACACGATAATTAATTCAAAATTACAATTTTAGCACAATTATATACATATAAATGGTGTGGAGGTCTACTTATAATTCATGACCTATAGTTTGGACCTAATTTATGGCTGGTTGTTTGTGCCTCGTTTGTATACTGTATATATTCTTGACAGTTGGAAAATTGAGACGGTGAGATGTGGTACGAAACCAAGGGAATGTTTGACCAACAACGTATGGTGTGGTAGTGGGGTTATAATGAATAGTAGGGAGCACGTTGGTTGATGAATTCAGAGATCTAGTGGGTATCACCTGGCGGGGAGGAATAAACTGGTACAGTAGTTGATCTAATTTCATGCGGACAACTGGAGAACCATCCAGAATTTGTTTTTTTTGGTTTATCCCCTGTTCAAAAGCATCAGCGACACTCAGAATTGTACCTGTAGGTTTGTACCATTTTTTTGTCATAGGATTAGAATTCAATCAGCAAACAATGCGATGTTCGTCACAACAATCGGACTTGAACCAACAAGGACGTGAAAAAACATGAAACAAACTGTTACTCCTCTCCTTTGAACGAAATTCTCATATTCATTATCATGTGCATGCCTATTCTAATTATTATTGTCATTATTGTTATTGTTTGCAGATGATCATGAATCATTATTGTCATTATCTTCATCATGGTTATTAATACTGTTATATACTACTCTCCAAATCTGATGATAACGATCATTGACAATCATAATTTATTGTTATTATTGTTATTATCATCAATTATTAATGATTGATAGCAGTTATTGGATAATAACTCATAATAACAATATTCTTTCCAACAACTGGCTGATGAAACCATGTCCCCATCTGGCCGCCAGGTGGCGATGATGCTGTCTTCAAAGCCATCGCGGATGCCTACAAGGCCCTGACCGAGGTGCCGCGAGGGTTGACACCCTAAAAATCATGGGATAAACAACCAACTGGTGCAGGATTTCTTCCATCCACTTTTTCTGATGGAAAATGGCCGAAATTTAGTTGATTTTCCTTTTTTTGAAATGGATTGTGTCCATAGCTATGTTAGTTTACCAAAGGGTACTCCACAGAAAGATGGAAAAGTAAACTCCCACTAAGATGATTAATGGTAAATCACTTTTCTTTTTTTTGGGATCAATACAGTGATGCTAGAAGCAAACGAGGATAACATGGATTTTGAGTTTTTTTGAATAAAAACCGTTCATATACTCAGTTTGATGTCGTTTTTTTTGAAACTTATGATCCGAAGTAGAACTGTTTATGAAATGTATTGAAATGTGTGTAGTGTCCAAAACTATTGAGAATTTTATGCAGCTATAACTGGATCAATATGTTCAAGTTTTTGTCCTTGTAGGTGAGATGGTGATGCCCTTTAAATCAAGTTTTTGGCTGTGGTGAAAACAATAAACCAGAGAAAGTTTGTAGCTTTTTGCTGATGCAAGTGGAATGATATGAGGCTCTGAGTATGTCCAAACAGCGTTTTTGGACGCTGCCATGTTTGTTCCGTTCTAACTCTTCTGCAGCTCAATTCACAGTTTGGCTGCATGTTAAATATGTGTGTTCTCTTGGTTATTCACAATGTTTGGTGGCATGGTTGTTGGTAGATTTCCACATCAATAATGACGAAACTCCCGTTTTGGAATATGAGTTTTATGGCAAAGCGCCACATGTTGTGTTGGTGAAATCTCCAATAATCCCTTCCCCCTGGTATTGAATAGCCACCAAACAAAAGCCTGATTTGGTATTGGATCTAGGAACTGAGGTCCCATCAGCAACTCAAATTTTGTCCAAACACATTCACCGTTGATGCGCCAACACCATCTAGTAAACCATGTTTTTGATATTTCAACGCACCATTTTTGATGACTTGATCCAATTTTTGGTTGCTTATTTCAGCTCCGCATTGTCTCGTCCAAAAAAGATCTCGGCAATCCTTGGAGGCAAAGACCGAGGAAGGCGGCTGGAGAGACCTGGAAGGCAGGTTAAGATTCCCATAGTTGGGATATTCAGGGGCGATAAGTACCAACCCCCTGGGATACCCTCTGGTTATTTAACATAGCCATGGAAAATGACCCATTTATAGATGGTTTACCTATTACAAATGGTGATTTTCCATGGCTATGTTAAATAACCAGATGGTACTTTGGGATTTTGAGCAACGATAAAAATATGGGGGCTACCATGGGATATAACCCGGATATGCAGAAGCAACGTCAAAAAGGATGTGGGTGTGCCCGAACATGGGAAAAAATGGTAAAAGGGGGATGCTAGGACATCCCAGCATTCATTGTTGGTTGTTATGGTTTCTTGTTATTGTTCAATGTTTCATCTTTACCTTTGATGTTTTTTCCTATGGGGATTTTGGGGCTTTTTTGCCCGAACTTTCACTTCATTGTTTGGTTTCAGATGAGGGGGAGATTTGTTGTTACTGTTGTGTTTTTTCGAAAATGGTTTTGTCTTGGAGCTTTCTCTACTCAACACCGGCTTTGTAGTCTTCGACTTCTCGCTTCAGATGTAGGGCGGCCCGGATATTCTGAATTTGTGCAACTAGTGTTGAAACGATCAGCGCAAGAGCAAATCAAAAACAGAAGACATGCAACCGGCTCTGCGCTCAAGTTCGGCAGCAAAGTAGCACTAATTCTGTTTCAAGTTCAGACTGTGCCATGGGGGGTCGTCAAGTTCCATTGCGTCGGCAGTCATGCCTTCTTGTGAGAGCCTTACTGCTTTGGATTGCGTGCAACTTTATTTGCTCATCGCAGGGTTTTGCTGGTCTTGACCCGTGGAAACGGGGGTTTGGTACGGGCAAAACCACCGGTCGCTGTCGCCCGTCAAACTGGTGGAACGAAGTACCTGGTGGCACTGATTGCTTGGCTCAGAGGACAAAGGATGCCTTTGAGACCAATATGAAAACGGCAAACATCCCGCTGCTGGAGACATGGGAGAGCTACGAAGCATCGCTGCCGGTGAGAGAAGGCAGTTGTGGAGTTTGCAAGCTCTACTTACGACCCTATTTGTGTCGAAGCAAAGAGTTGGATGTCGCAGTGAGCCGATTAGAACACGCAACTGAGGATAGAGACCGAGTGGCTTACCTTTCAGCTCCAACCAAGCGTGGCAAGTCTGCCGCCATCCTGCCGATATTCTGTCGAAGTGTGGAACTGGGGACTAAGCAGTGTTTCACCCACTACCTCTACATGCCATTTGCCAATAACGGTCGGAATCGCAACCAGCCTGCATTTTAATTGGAAGTGTGCTTCCTTTTGCTTTCCTTTGTCCACTTTCTGTCGGGATGTTCATGTGTTTCATGTTTGCACGAGGTCACAGCCCAGCGCCGCGTAGCTTGGAGACCGATGAACTGGAGCGGGCTGGTGCTGACTTCATGCTCCACTGCTTCAGGAGGCAGATGAATGGAACTTATTCTCGGAGTTCAACATGGAGTCTCCCTTCACAAATACCAGACCTTGCAGATACAGAAGCTAAATTCCAGGAGGAGATGGAGAAGTTCTTGCAAAGAAACGCCAGCAACCGCCTTCTCCTCCACATCGACGAGCACCGCTCCATGGGCACATCTCCTGAATTCAGGCGAGGAGCACTGCTTTTGGCTGGCTCACTTCCACAGATGTGTCAGGTGATTGCCACCTACCTCGAACCGCCGGATCTAGCCGCACAGGGTTCGTCGCAGGTTTGCCGCTTTCCAATTGCCATGATGCTAGTAGATGTGAGCCCCTTGCTGACCAGGGACGCTTCAGATGCTGCACCTGCCACGGCAGCAGGATTGCCGAAAATCAAACTTCCTGCCGAAGAATGGGGTGACAAGGAAGAACGATTGCTCGCAACTTTGCGAGTCAAGCTAAGCCTTTTCCTTGTGCACATTGGTCTTGACCAGCTCCACATTCCACAGGATGAGAAGAGCGACCTGCGCAGAACTTTCAGAAACATCCAGGACCAGCTTGACAAAGAGGGAAACCTGGAGAGCAAGCTCATTGGAGCTCTTGGAAGTTTTAGCGTCGCTTTGCCAGATCTAGATGAACAGGTCTCAGGAGCAGTGGACTTGTTGTTGGGCATAAAAGATGCCCGGGCAGAGGACAGAAGGTATCCGGGAGTGATCTCGTTGGACAACCGGAAGCTGACTCTTTCGCTGGAGAGGTTGATGGCAGTTCAAGATGCCAGGGATAAAGCATCGTCAGTCTTTGACAAAGCCCAAGAAGTATTCTGCTCGTCTCTGATGGAATCTGGGAGTTGGTGTGACGGTATGCTTTTAGAGCGAGCTTATTTGTGGGTTCTTGCCTGCAAAGCGGCTAAGGCAGAGGACGGCTTTGGATTTGTGAGCAACCCTCGCATATATGAGTTTCAATGCGAGGAAATACGAGACGGATTGCAACAAGTCGATGGGAAGAACGCAAGAGTCTTCACAAAGAAGGGAGACCCCTGCATTGATGGTATCCGCTGCATAGAGGATGGTGTCATGTATCACGCGCTTTCAGAAGGTGGCACGGCTGGCACGCACAAAGGCTTCGACATTTGGTTCAAGACCGAAGCAGATGAATTAGTCCTGAGCTCAGTTGGAAGGCTGAATGTGTTGCAAACAAACAGTATCCCGTCATTTCAGTCTTTGTTTGCATGTGCTTGTATGTTTTGTAACTTGGCAGGTGCTCTTGGATGTGACTGGAGCTACGAATGCAGAAACCTGCAACAAAAAGGCTTCAAATATTGCTCAGAATGTGAACGCAGTGAAGCACACGGTGCAGAACGCGGAATCACCGGTAAAATCAGTAATTGGCGTTCTTCTTGCTCCAAATTGCAACAGTCCCATTGTGGATGCACGAGTAGCTCAAGTAGTGGCAGGAGACGCAGCAAGAGACATATTAGGCGGCTTGCAACAACTCCTAACTTGGCTTGGTGATGATGTCGACTAAGCACCTTGAGGACAGGGTTGGAGTGGAGCGCTTCCCACCCCATTTTCCCATGAACTTCAAGAATTTTCCCACTGGGAAACTTCATTTTTCCCAAACTTCAACTTTCCCCGAGTGCCGTATGGAAACTTGACTCTTCCTTCAGGAGCAGCGGGACGTTCTGACCAACCGTGCCGAATGCTTGATTGACCTCGTCACTGAATGACTTTCTGACTGGGGCAAAAAAAGCGGTGTGGTGCTCTGAAGTCAATGTTGCATAAGAAGTGTCCTGACAAAGCCGAAGACACTGATGTCATGTTCACCCTTTTTGATTTGCCGGTGTTGCGTTGCCAAATGAACAGGGCATCAACACATTCAGAGACGTTCGTAGGATGGAAACAGGGTGTCTGTGGACAGTTTTTGAAGCGATACATTGAGACAACCAGCACTTGACAAGGATGACAAGCACAACCATACACAACGAGAACTCTTCATTTTATGTTTTTGGTCTCCCATTTTCAAAGCGCAACTCAATATCCCACAAGCCCATTTGAGGTCATGAAGTCATACTCGGCTTTGATTTTCAAAAGGTGTGTTGCGAGAACTCTGAAGGGTAGAAGTGGAGAAGGATTGAGATAGAACTTTTAAGTTTGAAGTGGAGATGGGGGTTTCACACAAAGACCACATATACAATGTTATAGCTATTTTACAGTAATTTTACACCACAATACATCTATTTACCTACATCATGATGATATACATGCATCCAGTCGCTTGCATTCACCCTGTTAGAAAACGTGCGGAGGAGCGGAGTGTTGACCTCCTCGGGGATTCAAAAAGGTTATGTGTTATTTGTTTGGAGGAAATTGGATTTTCTCTTGTCTTGGTTTTTTCATAGATACAAAAGTTAGTTTTTTGGGCGGGGAACGAAGGGTTTGTGATAGAAAACACACCGTCCATCTTAACATATAAGGTCGCACATGATTATCCAATATGAATAGCATACAAGACGACTGGGATGCTAAAGGCTCAAGTCTGATGAGGACAAAACGACAATTTATGACGACTTGACAACAAAAAACATTTTTCAACAAGTGTCCTGAGACCATCTTTTTTTAATCTCAAATGCGCTACATTCAGGACACGTGTTATTTTAAGCCAAAACGACTACCCGAAGCAAAAAGCAAAGACGCTTAAAGAAATGTCGCCTTATATAAAAAGTAAATTATGCCCTGCTATATGGTAATTGATGGAAAGAAGCAAAAAATGGACGAAGACGTCTTTGACCAAATGGTTGAAGCACTCCACCAATCCAACAACCCCCACAACCCACCAGCCCAAGCAACCACACGATGGAAACCTGATGGAAGTTATGACAAAAAACCATTAGACCCAGACTATTTTTCAAAATACTATCAGAAGAAACTATCAAAACCCTTCCAATGCCCAGACTGCGGACAGGTAATCAGTAGTAAATCCAATCTTTCAAAACACCGTCAAACCAAGAGATGTACGAGCAAACAAACCCACTGTTGAAATCCGAAACCTTCTCAATAACAACGATTCTGTTTATTGAGAACGTTTTATTCACTATTCATTTTTGTCTGTTTGACACAGTTTTTTGACCCTTGATGTATTGGAACATAGTATTGAGACATTACATGCTTATAAAAAGGACATTCATTTTTTTCAAGGTGTTTCTCTAATATTTTTTCTTTATTTTTGTAGTAATATTCCCGCGCCACCTCCTTTCTCTCTTCTTCCGTCCTATGTGGAATGACCTTATTGACACAATCAATGCTTTTGATGTAGTGCCCTTCTCGTCTCAATAGTTCTTCCTTACAACTACAGGGATAGTTTTCAATCAACTCAATCTTACAATCTTCAATACCAAACTCATCAAATATTTCAAACACTGACAAATTCTTATTTGTTTTTCCTGTTTTGTAAGAACTGTATTTTGCTCTATGCCTCTCAATTCTTTTACTCAAACTTTCGCAAGTGCTCCCTACATAGGCTTTGTTGTATCCAGTGTCAGTTATTTTGTAAATCTTTCCGTTTTCATACCTGTTCATACCTATATTTACCATAAGTTGCCATTTCTTTAAACAATTTTTCTCAAATTCAATTCTGGTGTTCTCACGTTGGACTTCAACCCAGAACCCAATGACCCAAAAACTGAACGAGAACCCAAAATTGCTTGAAGAAATATTACCTTATATTTTAAGGAGAAAATGGCAGAGGATACAAGGTTGAAACATTCAATCGCTCGGTTTAATGATGAAAACCAACAAGACAACCCATCCAATCAACCGCAACATCCTCAACAAACAATGGAAACTGAAAAACTACTTAAAGAAACAGATGATTATAATAATATAGATTATACTATAATGGATACTTCACAGCAGATTGTTTTAGATTATCTTTTGTCATCTGAAAAGGGTGAGATATTGAAACGGAATGGAGAAGAACTCAAGAAACTCAAGATTGGAGAGAAAACCTACAACTTTGAAAGGGGGAAACCCATTTCAAAGAGGTTGATTACCAAATTCAACAAGATTAAGCAGACAATGGATTACAAAAAGTATGAACTGAAAGAGAAGAGAGGCATTAGATGGGTCAATCTGGACAAGAACAAAGCACTCACAGGCATTCAAATGAGATACAAAGCAACCACCACCAACGAACAATCTGCTTTCAAAGGTTATGTCAATTCGTATGCCATCACTAACATCAGGGTTAGAGGCATAAAGGCACTACAATATCTCAAATACCAAGATTTGAGGTTAAAAGAGTATTTGAGGAAACACAATGGAATGAAGGTTATGCTACAGGTCTTCGCCACTTTGAAGAGCAAAAAGACTAATGAAGATGTAAGACAAGTCATCAAGAGTAGAAGATACAACATCACCAACGAAGGTGAAATACCCAATGTTCTTAATCAAATGGCAAGTGATGTAGAGCATCAAGCGGAGGTGATGGAAGTGTCGGAGAGTGGATTAGTCATAACCCAGATTGATAAACTGAAGTTCAACTATGACAAATACAATCCAACTCGTGGGGGTAAGTTCATTCCATTACCTAAATGGGTTTCAAACAAAAAAGCCTGTATCAACATCAAAAATCAAGATGAAAAGTGTTTCAAGTATTCCGTTCAGTGTGGTATATGTAGGGTTTATGAAAAAGACCACCCCGAAAGGGTGTCTCAATACAAAAACCTCAAATGATGAATTGAACTGGGATAATGTCAATTTTCCATCATCAGATGTTGATATAGATACATTTGAAGAAAACAACGGAGGGAAAGTAGCAGTGAATGTTTATTTTATTGACCCCGAAGAAGGGAAACAGTCCATCCTACTTTACAGACAGACCAAGGTTCAAAGAGCAACTCATCAAATCAGTCTTCTAAAACTGGAGGATGGGGATGATTACCATTATGTATTCATCAAAGATTATGACAAGTTGATAGGATGTCAAACCAACAAACACAAAGCAAAAGTTTATCATTGTTTTCACTGCCGACACGGTTTTCAATCACAAGAACTTTTAGATGAACATAATGAAAAGGGATGTATGGCAGTTGAAGGGCAACAGATACAGATGCCTAATGAAGAGGACATTATGGTTTTCAAAAATCACTACAAAAAGTTGAAAGCACCTTTTGTCATCTATGCTGACTTTGAATGTCTAACCACAAGAACGGGGACAGTTTCAACTAAAGAAGTTAAGACTGATAAATACCAACATCACAGACCCTGCGGTTTTATGATAAATGTTGTCAATTCAATTGATGGTTCATCAAAGCCTTTCCTTCACAGAGGGGAGGATTGTATGGATGTTTTTATCCAAAAGATTATTGAAGTAAAAAATGAGATAATGGATAAGATGAAGGAAAACAAGGAAATCATTATGAGGGCAGATGACTGGAGGGACTTTAAAACCGCAAAGAAATGCTTTATATGCGGTAAAGACTTCAAAGAAGGTGATAAAAAGGTTAGAGACCATTGTCATTTTACAGGTAAGTATAGGGGATGTGCCCACGATGACTGTAATTTACAGTTTTCAATGAGATATTATAAAATCCCCGTTTTCCTTCATAACCTCAAGAACTATGACAGTCATTTAATCATTGAGAGGGCAAATGAACTGTCAGAAAGGGGTAAGATAGATGTAATAGCACAGAATAGTGAAAAGTTCATTACCTTTGCTTTTAAAAACCTTTGTTTCAAAGACAGTTTTTCTTTCTTATCGTCTTCGTTGGATAAGTTGGTGAAGTTGAGTAAGTATGAAGACGGAGAGAAGAAACAAAACTGGCAAAACAACTTCAAATTTAGCAAAAGAAACCCTTATGTGAGTAATGATGAGGATTTAGATTTACTGACTGATAAAGGTGTTTATCCTTATGATTACTTCACTTCATTTGACAAATTTAGAGAAAAACAATTACCCCCAAAAGAGACATTCTACAGTAATCTCACCGAAAGTAATATTGAAGATGATGAGTATGAAAGGGCACAAAGGATATGGGAACACTTCGGTATAAGAAATCTTGGGCAATACCACGACTTGTATTTGAGAACCGATGTTCTTTTACTCACTGATGTCTTTGAAAATTTTAGAGACCCATGTTTGGAATACTACGGTTTAGACCCCGCACATTATTTTACCCTTCCTAACTTTGCTTGGGATGCTATGCTTCTAAAAACTGGTGTTGAAATAGACCCTTTAGCTGACCAAGAGATGTATGAGATGATTGAGAAGGGTTTGAGAGGTGGTATGTGTCAGGTAAGTCATAAGGAAGCAAAAGCAAATAATAAGTATATGATGGACGACTATGATGAAAACAGACCATCTAACTACATCAATTATTTAGATGCTAATAACCTTTATGGACTGGCAATGTCAATGAAACTACCCATAGGAAAACTGAAATGGATAAAGAAGATACTGACAGAAAAGATGATAATGGACTGGAATGAGAATGATGACAATGCCTACATACTGGAGGTTGATTTAGAGTATCCAAAGGAAATACAGGACGAACAATCAGATTATCCATTAGCACCCGAAAATATGAAAGTTGAAGAGAAATTACTTTCAAAACACCAAAGGGAACTACATAGACATTACTATAATGGCAAGGAGGCAAGGGATGAGAAACAACCAAAACTTATCCTAACCAAATGGATAAAACCAACTATGTAGTCCATATCAAGGCATTACAGTTTTATCTTCAAAAGGGTATGAAAATCAAACAAGTTCATAGAGGGGTGAAGTTCAAACAGAGATGTTGGTTGAAACCTTGGATAGATTTTAACACTGAAAAGCGAAAAGTGGCAAAGAGTGATTTTGAGAAAGATATGTTTAAATTGATGAACAACGCTGTCTATGGAAAAACGATGGAGAATGTCAGAAACCATATAGACTTTGAATTAGTATCAACGCAGGAGAGGATACAAAAATGTATCAACAATCCTAACTACAAAGGATGTCATATTATAAATGAAGAACTGGCAGGAGTGGAAAAAACAAAAACCGTATATATTGAAGTTGGATAAACCTATTTATTTAGGAATGTCCATTTTAGACCTTTCAAAGGTTCATATGTATTCTTTCTACTATGATGTCTTAAAAGCAAGGTATAAGGATGATGTAAGACTAATATATACTGACACCGACAGTTATGTTATACAAACTTTCACTGAAGACATCTATGAAGACTGGAAAGGAATAAAGGATTATATGGACTTCAGCGGTTATGATAAAAACCACCCTTGCTATGATGCCACTAATAAAAAAGTCCTTGGTAAGTTCAAGGACGAGATGGATGGAAAAATCATCACAAACTTCATTGCTTTGCATCCTAAAATGTATTGTCTAAAAGTCTTCAACGAACAGAAAGCAGAAAAGAAAGCAAAGGGTGTTCCAAAACTGAAAGTTAAACGGGATTTAGATATGAAAGACTATGAGGCAACACTCCACGAACACATACCAAAGAATGTAAATTTCAATGCCATCAGAAGTAAGAACCACCAAATCTATAGTATAAACGAAAGCAAGGTCGGTTTAACATCTTATGACAACAAAAGGTATTGGTTCAACGATACTGACAGTCTCCCCTATGGGCACTACTCACTTTCCAATTAATAATATTATTTAACAATAATATTATCAATTGTTCATATCAAACTCCAATTACAGAGTTGTAGTTTCGGTAGTTGATATATCAGTTTGTTTTGTTTCTCCTTTTCCAGTTTCTCCACTCTTCCCACCAACTCTTTTACGCTCTTGACGAGTAAAACATCTGTTCGGGTCTTTTCGTCTTCGTCTATCTTTTTGATTTGTTCAAGGTAGTCGTTTTCAACACTTCTGTTTGAATTGCCCATTGTGTATATATATATATGATTTTAGATTTTTAATTCTTTGATTTGGATTTCGCCTTTGCTTTAGGCTTGACAAAATCTTTGATGAAGTTTTCAACTTCAAATAAGCGGGTTTCTAAATGCTCAACTTTGTTTTTCAACTCCTCATTTTCTTTTATGATTTCTCTTACTGCCCCCCAAGTGATAATTCCCATCTTAACATAACTTAATTTCTTAATACCATCAACTTCAACGAGTATATTTTCAACTTTTTCTGGTATATTTTCTCCTACATCTTCTGCTATAAAACCTATATGAGTTTTAGTTATTCCCATTTCTTTTTCTTCTTTCATTTTGAACGTATGAGGTTTAATGCTATTTACCATTTTTGTAAAATTGAAGTCTGCTTCTTCAATATCATGTTTCATATCTTTTTGCGATGTATCCACTAAATCGCCTTCTAATGTATAAGGTGCTGGAACAGAAACTTTTGATGGTGTGATGAACAGTCTTATGCCACCATTAGCATACAATCTTATATCTCCGTTAGGGTCTTCATTGATTAACTTGAAATGATTGACACCTGCGGTATTTTCATTAACTATATAACTATTCTTACCAGTTTCTCTATGAAAATATGCCTTTTTGTCTTGATTGACATATATGTCTTTTGAAAAATTAACATCTTCATCTGCTTTTCTGTATCTCACATATTCTACTGAACCGTCATCTGTTGTATTACTGCCTTGAAAAACCATATCAGCACCAACATTTCTATGGATAAAATAGTCTCCATAAATATATTGAGACGACAATGCCCTACCTGTTGATACAGAATTAATATTTTTAGTGCCGTCTAATGTAAAGAAATTAACACCGCCCCTTTTAAATACTACATTAGTAGGAGTGGCACTATCAATTACATCAAACTTACCACTTTCAGCAAGTAATGATATACCTGTATTCACCTCTACATTACCATTTCTGAAATGCATAAAATCTATGGTGTTCCTTCTAAAACTGACATCAGCATTACCGATACTATCATAAGTGTTTGATTTAGCACCTTTTGTTATATAGTTCCACTGCTTGTAGCGTTCCTTCAAACTTCATATATTCAACATCACCCCTTTTAAAGACTAAATCAACATTACCAGCATTTTTTGTATTGATAATATCGGTTTGTAATTCAGTATGACATACGACATCAACATTAAAATACGCCTGTGTGTTTGATAATTGAAATTTTAAGTGTTGAGGAAACTGACTACCACCAACATAAAACCGATGTAATCCACCAGAAGCAAAAATACAATAATCATAACCAGATACTTGAGATAGTCATGAATTCTCAGGTCTAACATGATAATTTTGTCAACTAACATCGATGTGGACAACAACCATGGTTTCCCCAATGATCTGCACATGGTGGGTCCGCGTCTATGTTGATCTACTAGAGGGTAACCATGCGGTTGATGGGGGACCCTTATTTTCATTGATAGCGACATGATCAAACTTTCGCCGGATTGCACACAGCGCACATGTAGATTTCATCCCTGTGAACATATTTGAAGACAACAAAGAATGTAGATAGGAATTCAATGCGATGAAAAATGGCAAACTTGGATTAACAAACTCAAATTATGTGTGTGTGTGTCTGTGGATCATTGTGGATTGTTTTCAAGGTGCATGTTGCACGACCGATCGTTGGCCGACAAAGCCATCCCAATCTAATACTCGGGGACAAAAATTCGTGATTCAAGAAATACTTTTATACGGTGGGCCCCCCCAAACCATCGTTAAATTGGTTTAAAACTTGGAAAAACCCTAGGGATCCCTAGGGTTTATGGGGGATAAAGCGTGATAAAGCTATAGGTCATAGGACTTTCATAGCCAACTTCAAACTGCGCCTTGACCTTGCCAGGGCAGGCCGTGGGCCCCTGGCAAGCCCATGTCAGACACCCAGCATAGCGTTGAGCGGTTTCATGGGGCGGGGTTTGTTGTGCAGATTCAGAACCACCCGTTTACAATTCTAATATGGCATGGGTCATTAAATGTCCCCATTGAACATCACCCAACCATTAGGTATATGGTCTATAATGGCTACTATACGGTGATGTCCAATATATCCAAAATGGGACAGTTGCCAACCCCTGTATGGGGTGACAAGCAATTTTGTAGTACTATAGCCATAGCTTCGTTTTCATCGACCCGCACTCCTCTTCAGTGATTTGATTGGCGAAATCTCAGACACATTTTGTAGACTCCATGGCGTCAGGGTTGTTGTTGAACAGTTTGGAGGTTGTGACCATGGGGGAACCCATCGTTTTCAAACAGTGTTTAGTAGTCCAGGACATTTTCCATGTCGGACGCGCCATGACTCGCCCTGCTCCACATGGAACATGAGGCCCCAACGGCCACAAAGGTTGGAGCGCCAAGTCTAAGTGACCGGGGTATGGGTCGATGAAACTGGATGCAACCGAACCCAAACGGTCCAGCCGCACGGAAAAACACATGCAATTGCATTTGTTTGGATCATTTTGAAGTGTATCCAGTTCTTTTGCCGAACAAACCATTTTTTTCAGGCGAATGAACAAACAATCATAGCTGTGGAGAATGGTCAATTTATATATAAAGGATTTGCATGTTATTTTCATTACTTTTCATGGTGTTTTTCGAATCTTTTTGATAGTAATTTACCAGGGGGCATGTTCTCATTACTACCCATCAACATTCCCAGCACTTCCCAATTCTTGGTTGGTTCAATTAAGTTAAACCGTACTAAACCAGACGGTACTACTTGGGCAGGGAATCACGTGCATGCTCTTCGATAGCTTTGGAACTCCACCCTGGGAGAGCAGAAGGCTTTACACAGGGTTCGGGGCCCAGATGCCCGCGCAGTGTCAGGCGTGATGGAACACGTTTTGAGAATCCACTTCAAAAAACCGCGTTGTTTCAGGGTTCCCCCCAAAAATATATCTTCAGCTGAAATCACGTGAAATCACCTGGATCTTCAGGTCCTGGCAGGAAGGCGTTGTTCGGTGCTGGGAGCTCTCCAAAGGGGAGCCTGGCAAGTCGCTGGGACCACGATGCCCAGGAAATATTGCTATTTCAGAGGGAAAATGAATGAACATGATGAACCAACTGGGTTTGGGGGTACCCATATTTTAGGACACCTCCATATTTAGATATTTTAGATATCTCTACTCGATTTTCCATATTTTTTTTGGAGTATGTTTTACTGGAGGGAGTGGTAAGGTTTACAGGAATCCTCCCTATATTCATTGAATCTTCCTCGAGCAAGCAGCTTGTAGAACTCCGAACCGCCTCTTGATATTTGTCATCTTTTCCAGCTTTTACAGTACATTCTTGTACCATAAATGTGGGATCCAATGTGGGTGTATCTGAAAATCTAGGTCAATCAACCCCAACCACGATATTTCGGGCACATGATGAGGACTTCCGTTGCCTTGAGGACCAAGCCCCCTCCGCGACTGGTGGGCGAAATTGCCGATGCCTGAGTCATCTACTAGATATAGTGGATACATCATGGGTAAATCAAGGGTACCAATGGGATATAGATATGGAGGTTTCCTGAAATAGGGGTACCCCTAAATCATACATTTATAGATTGGGACTTTCCCAAATAAAACCATCCAGCTATTAGGGTACCCCCAATTTAGGAAACCCCCATATACTGTAGCAATGATTCATGGGGAGAATTTCTAACATGAATTATCTGGTAGAGGTTGGGAGCTGTATCAAGAAAGTATGCTACTAGCACAAGCAGCTGGATGACAAGTGATGTGAGGAACACCTCCAAAATTTGGAGCTGTCATTCCTCCCAGTTTTTCGCCATCTTCCCAGTCTTCCCAGTCTGAGTTTTTCCAGAAAGTCGCGCTACTGTCGGCTCCCGAGGCAGTTGGAGGTTTCATCAATGATGTGGCCGCCATTTCGCCCTTTGGACTTTTGACTGTCGGGAAGCTCTTGACAAAGTTGATCTCTGAGGTTGCACCACATTGGGATACACGATGATTGATTACTAACTATATAATACATTATAATACTATATAATACTATATATATATATATCAATAGTTAGTATCAATAGTTATATATCAATAGTTAGTATCAATAGTTAGATTGGGATTACTAGTCATATATCAATAGTCATGAATTATTGATTCTTGATACTATTGGAAGATCTCTGACTGTCATCAATCATCATAGATAACGAATAGATGACGAATAGATGACTAGTTCGTGTTGGCAAGATGTCGCAATCCTTGGTGCTACACAGTGCCTCCATCATGGAGCTGTCACCCAGGCACAATCCGCGGGCATGAAACCTTTGCCCGGCGAATCCCTACGGTGTCTTGGCATCAAAAATGGGCGGTCAAAATGGATGATCCGAGTTTTCACCTGAAGGAAAACCATCGAAAACTCATCTGCTTGGTGGTTTGGAACATGGCTGGATTATGACTTTCCAGTCGGGAATAATCATCATCCCAACTGACGAGGTACTCCTCAACCACCAACCAGTCATATTTGGATGGCAAAATCCTTTGGTCCCCGCAGGTCATGGAATCTGAAGACGACTCCCTTCAGGCCCATCGACGGGCACTTAGAGAAATGGGCTTGGAGTTGAGGAAAGTTTGCCAATTTTTTAAGGGAGCTCTAAGGAGTCAGGATTTCGGAATGGTTATCATAATATCATATATATATAGCTACAAAACGGGTAGCCTTTCAGAGCGTCGAAGCCACTCTGGATCAAGTGCTTGGTCTAGGTTTGCAATCAACAATTTTCTGTGGGTGAATTCCCCGTATATTGGTCGTTGAAAGGAAGGGATTTCCTAAAAACGATTTCCCATGAACATGGATAACGATTCTAAGGCACGAGCCAAGACGAATGCCATTGCAGATGCCTCAGTCCGACGGCGGTCAACCAGCATCAATCCATCACGATCAACTGGACAATTTTTTTTCGTGATCGAGGCCGATGATCCAGAAGCCAAATCCAAGGTGTGGCAACCCGGGAGACTTCCGAAAGGGTGGCCACTTTCATTACTTTAATCATTTGATATAAGTGGACACAATATAACTAATTATGTATATATATACATATATATATATATATACCAAGCAGCTAAACAGGCTAAACAGGCTAAACAGGCTAAACAGATACTGTTTTGCCAGGTATATAACACCATCATGTTCAATTTTTTTTGCATAGATTTGTGTGGAAGTACTTTCAGGCATCTCAAAATATGATTGCTCACATTTTCCACATGTACCACAGTGTGTTATCCACCTTCAAATTGGATAGTGAGTTGTATCCTAGTCTATTCCCATGAAGTTTCCATCGCCAGGTGTCGAAGGCTACAGGCCACGGGATGCTTCACCAACGAAGGAAGACATGGTTGGGGCTTAGCCAAAGTGGTTTTAATGAGGAATGTTCAATCATTAGCGAACAATTATAACCATTATTTAAGCGCTTACGCGCGACAGCCGGCCAGGGGCCCAACTATGTTGGCCCATCTTGTGGCTATATGTTGGCCTATGTTGGCGTATGTTGGCCTATCTTGCGGGCAACGTGGGCCCATCTTGTGGCTATGTTGGCCTATGTTAGCCGCATGTTGACCCATGTGGAGCCAAAAGATCCGAAAAATGGGAACAGCAAAAAAACGCTGTAAAACGCAGGATATTTTGATGGTCGGCGGCCTATCTTGGGGCTATGTTGGCCCATGTTGGGGCTATGTTGGCCTATCTTGAGGGCAATGTGGGCCCATCTTGGGGCTATGTTGGCCCATCTTGGAGCTATGTTGGCCCATCTTGGGGCTATCTTAGCCCATCTTGGGCGCTAGGTTGGCCCATCTTGGGGCTATGTTGGCCCATCTTGCGGCCTATGTTGGCCCATGTTGACCCATCTTAAACCACAAGATCCGAAAAATGGGAAAAAGTGGGAAGAGCACAAAACACCGTAAAACGCGACTGTTTTTGGCGGGGGGGAGTGGTCGGCGGCTGGGGCGGCGGCCCCTCTCTCCTACGGAGAGGAGAGAACTGCCGTACGGCAAGGACACGGCCAGGGGGCCCCTGGCCGGATTTAAGCGCTTACGCGCGACAGCCGGCCAGGGGCCCAACTATGTGGCCCATTTCGTGGCTATGTTGGCCTATGTTGGTCTATCTTCCGGGCAATGTGGTCCCATCTTGTGGCTATGTCGGCCTATGTTGGCCTCAGGTTGATTCATGTTGAGCCAAAAGATCCGAAAAATGGGAGCAGCAAAAAAACACTGTAAAACGCAGGATATTTTGATGGTCGGCGGCGTATCTTGGGGCTATGTTGGCCCATCTTGGGGGCCATGTTGGCCCAGCTTGAGGTTATGTCGGCCCATGTTGGGGCTATGTTGGCCCATCTTGGGGCTATGTTGGCCCATCTTGGAGCTATGATGGCCCATCTTGGGGCTATCTTAGCCCATCTTGGGCGCTAGGTTGGCCCATCTTGGGGCTATGTTGGCCCATCTTGCGGCCTATGTTGGCCCATGTTGACCCATCTTAAACCACAAGATCCGAAAAATGGGAAAAAGTGGGAAGAGCACAAAACACCGTAAAACGCGACAGTTTTTGGCGGGGGGGAGTGGTCGGCGGCTGGGGCGGCGGCCCCTCTCTCCTACGGAGAGGAGAGAAACGCCGTACGGCAAGGACACGGCCAGGGGGCCCCTGGCCGGATTTAAGCGCTTACGCGCGACAGCCGGCCAGGGGCCCAACTATGTTGGCCCATTTTGTGGCATCTTGGGGCTATGTTGGCCTATCTTGAGGGCAATGTGGGCCCATCTTGGGGCTATGTTGGCCTATCTTGAAAGCTATGTGGGCCGATCTTGAGGCCTATGTTGACCCATGTTGAGCCAAAAGAGCCGAAAAATGGGAACAGCAAAAAATCGCTGTAAAACGCAGGATATTTTGACGGTCGGCGGCCTATCTTGGGGCTATGTTGGCCCATCTTGGGGCTATGTTGGCCTATCTTGAGGGCAATGTGGGCCCATCTTGGGGCTATGTTGGCCCATCTTGGGGCTATGTTGGCCCATCTTGGAGCTATGTTGGCCCATCTTGGGGCTATGTTGGCCCATCTTGGGGGCTATGTTGGCCCAGCTTGGGGCTATGTTGGCCCATCTTGAGGCCTATGTTGGCCCATGTTGACCCATCTTGAGCCACAAGATCCGAAAAATGGGAAAAAATGGGAAGAGCACAAAACACCGTAAAACAGGACAGTTTTTGGCGGGGGGGAGTCGCCTGCGGCAGGGGCGGCGGCCCCTCTCTCCTACGGAGAGGAGAGAAACGCCGTTCGGCAATGCCACGGCCAGGGGGCCCCTGGCCGGATTTAAGGGCTAACGCCCCCTGCCGCCGACCCCTGGAAAAGAACGCGAAGAAGCGGAGGACATCGTGACCGAGGACCGGATAGGGATCATTAGTCTCCTGCACAGGGAGCAGAGCCCTGAATAGGGGCCATATATATATATAAACTCCTGAACAGGGAGGGCCTCGCAGAGAGGCATTTATGGGGAGATCTGGGGAGTAGTGTGGCATATAGTGTATGTGTCTCTGTGTGTGTGTGTGTGTGTGGGTGTGTATGTGGGCGTGTGTGTGTGTGTGTGTGTGGGTGTGTGTGTGTGGGTGTGTATGTGGGCGTATGTGCGTGTGTGTCGGGAATGCAAAACCAGCCAATGGCAGGTGGCCAAGCCGCGTGAACCTGGCCCGTCCTAACGACGCGTTCGGAAACCCTTTGAAAAGTAGCTCTAGAAGCTGCCGGCTGCCACCTTTGCCGGGCGCATGCGAAACAGCGCAACAGCAGGGCCTGCTGGTCCCAACCGCGTGTCCCAAGGCCAGGCGCCACTGCCTAACGTTGGTTTCTGAAGCCCTTAGAAAAGTATAGCTCTGAGAGCTGCCGGCTGCCACCTTTGCCGGGCGCATGCGAAACAGCGCAACAGCAGGGCCTGCTGGTCCCAACCGCGTGTCCCAAGGCCAGGCGCCACTGCCTAACGTTGGTTTCTGAAGCCCTTAGAAAAGTATAGCTCTGAGAGCTGCCGGCTGCCACCTTTGCCGGGCGCATGCGAAACAGCGAAACAGCAGGGCCTGCTGGTCCCAACCGCGTGTCCCAAGGCCAGGCGCCACTGCCTAACGTTGCTTTCTGAAACCCTTAGAAAAGTAGCTCTGGAAGCTGCCGGCTGCCACCTTTGCCGGGCGCATGCGAAACAGCGAAACAGCAGGGCCTGCTGGTCCCAACCGCGTGTCCCAAGGCCAGGCGCCACTGCCTAACGTTGCTTTCTGAAGCCCTTAGAAAAGTAGCTCTGGAAGCTGCCGGCTGCCACCTTTGCCGGGCGCATGCGAAACAGCGAAACAGCAGGGCCTGCTGGTCCCAACCGCGTGTCCCAAGGCCAGGCGCCAGTGCCTAACGTGG